CACCAGCCCCGGGCTCTGCCCCTAGCATCATACCTGGTTTTTGTGGAGCACATTTTGTGTCGGGCAGTGGCCGAGCACTTGGCCAGTTCAGTGTCCACAGCTGTGGGGGTGGGGAGAATGATACTATTACCCGGGTTAGTTCACAGGTGTCCATGGAGGGTCGCCTGGTACCTGATGGTGCACGTTTTGCCTTGGTCCTCACGACTGCCCTGTTGAGTGGCTACTTCTCTGTTTAGGCACAAGGACACTGAAGTCCCAGGGGGTGCTGTGACCCGAACCTAGGCAGTCGCCCCCAAAGTCTCCCCTTGTGCCTGCTCAGAAGGCCTTGGGCAGCCCTGGGCAGGCAGAGAAAGGGGAGACAGGGAGGGAGGTGGCAGCATCCTGTGTCCAGTGGGTGTCCCATGGGGAGCCCTCGTGGTCCCCTGTTTTAGGGCTGGGCTTGCTTCATTGGTGGGAGGCGGTGGGGAGTGCTGAGCTGGGGGCAGAAGGGAAGCCGTTCTGGGCGCGGCCGCCTGGCCCTGCCGCTGAACCACTCGGTCCTTTCCACACGGTTCCCAGGTGGTAGCTGTGGCTGGTGCCGCCCTCTGTTCCCTGAGTTAAGGCTGACAGTGGTACCCGCTGTGGGTGAGTAAAAGCAAGAGGAGTGAAGGTTCTCAGCTGAGTTCAGGTCCCAGCGCCACCACTTACCAGCCTGGGGACCTTCAGCACGTCAGTCCGTGTCTCTGCCCAATTTCTTTGCCTGTAAAACGGGGTCCTGAGGTTACCTTCTTTTAGGGGGCGTTTTGAGGTTTCAGAGAGAATCAGCTAAAGGGCCCACTAGGCTGTCTGGGTGCTGTGGCTCTCAGGGTCTGACATGCGCCGGTCTTTTGGGATGTTCGTAGGCTGCAGAGGCGGATCGGCCTGGGCCCTGCCCTCCGTGGGGCCTGCTTGCTGAGGGGCTCTGTGGGTGTGAGAATACCTTGCAATACAGGAGCGACAGGAATAAGGGCAGTGGGCTGGGAGAGCTCATTCCCATCTGGGAGCATCAGGGAAGGCGTTTTTGGAGGAGGCAGACTTTGCCTGAGCGTTGAAAGATAATTAGAAGGTTATCTGTGACCCAGAGGTAGGGAAAGTGTTCCAGACTGAGGCAGATAAAGGGAGGAATGTCACAACATCGTACTTCGATGGAGGAGGGACAAGGGCGTGATGAGAGATGGACTGTAGGTTAGGGCCACATTCCTCTGGGTGGAAAGGAGCCTTGAAGGCTGCGCAGGGCGGTCCCCACCGTTCCTGCGTTGGTGGTCTGTCGCCATTGCGTGGAGTCGTTGGTTCACTGCTGGATCCGCAGGCCAGCCAGGAGTAGGTGCAGGAGTGGAGGGACCGAGGTCCTCAGCGTCCCCTGAGGCACCGTGGTCGGGGGAGCCTCCGGGCTCAGACCTGCTCTGGAAGCGCAGACACTGGGGTGGCTTGGCAGCCGGTGACTCTCACTCACTCGAGTTGGGCCCTGGTCGCCAGTGGACAGAGGGCCCTGCAAACTGTGTTCACGCCTCAGGTCCAGCTACCAGTGCCTGCTTTCAGGAACTGGGTGTGTCTGGAAAGCCGGTGCCCTAGAAACCTAATCCTCCCAGAAGGTGGAGGCTGGAGGAAACCCAGGGCCTTCCCTGGAGGCGGGAGGGGACCTTCCGCAGCTCCAGGAGAGCATGGACGCCTCCGTCCATGCTGGGCCCCACAGCTTCACCGGTCAGTCCCCTGCCCGACCCCTGACGTGTCCGTTGAGTTCACAGTGGGCCGGGCCTGCTGTGGCAAGCTGCCATACCCTGTGACCTGGGCCATCCCTTAACCATCCCTGGAGAGTGCTGTCGTGACCTCTGACCCCATCTCTGTGCCTGAGCCTGAGAGGACAAAGGAATGTGAAAGAGCCTTGTGGGGCTCTTCAAGTGACTCTCCCTTCTGCGTGGTCGCGAGTCTCCTCAGGGGCAGGGCAGAGAGCCAAAAGGCGTGGGGCAGATTGCTGAGTTTGCTAGTCTGTGGAGGCCCCCGCCCATGCACAGGTGGGAGGTGGGAACGTTTGGGCCCAGGTACCTGCACTCCAGGGCCCTGAACCAGCCCCTGAAGGACCTGATCAGAGTTGGGACAGAGAGACTGGTAGATTGGCGGACAGCAGAGAGATCAGTTAAAACGATAGTGTCACAGTCCCAGGAGGGACAGGAGGACCTGGATGGAATCTGGCCAGGGTGGGAAGACGAGGTAGGAATGGGCCTGGGACACAGGCTGATGGGCAGGGCTGGGACTGGCCTGGGGTCTTGGGCAAGACTACAGGAGATTTTATCCGGCTCTGTCAGCCTCTGCCCACGCCCACTAGGCACCCACAGGCCTCAGATGCCAGGGCTTCCTCCCGGTTTCTGCCTGAAGTCTCTTGTCCCTTGATAGTGGCAGTGTAGGAAGGAAATCCCAGGGGAGCGGTGCCCCTGCCTCCAACCCTCAGGGAGACACCCCAGCGCAGTTCTGAAGGTGCCCCCTCTGCTCCCTGCTACTCCCTGAGCTGGCTTCCTTCCCTCTCTGTCTCATCATGCTGTTCCCAAGCATTTCCCCCAGTAAACTGCTCCCTGCCAATCCTGTTCTCCTCCTTCGAGAACGGAGGTAGGGGTGAGTCTCTGGATAGGAGAGCGATCGCCCCTTGTGAGGATCTGAGTCCAGTGCGGTCTGGACCCGGCTGGTCTGGGATGAGCTTGGCCTGCAGCGGGACACATTGGGGACAGGAAGGCGGCATTTCTGGCTCAAGTAGCAGCGTCCTTGTGTGCAGAGTGGCGAGGGGAGGTTGCTGCTGACTCGAGTGTGTTGTTTTCATTGTGTTCAGCCTGGAAAACTTGCCCCCAGTTGTACTGGGGATCCAGACAGAGCACTGTCTCCTCCAGACCAGGATTCCGGTGCCAAGCCAGCTGGGGACCATGCTGGGGTTTCACCCACCCTGACCATTTAGGGGAAGGATTTTTAAGGGGCAGAACCTTCTCCCAGGGCTGCGGCTGACTCATCTTCGGTCATCCCCCTGCCCTAAACCCCCACCCAGGGCCCTGGGGAGCCCACCCTTTAAAGGCAGTGCCCAGCTCTGCACCCAGGGTGGAGCCCTCGGTCGGGCTGAGCAAGGACCTTGGTGGTGGTGGCCTGATCACAGACCACTTTTGGCAGCTTCTTTGTGAGGGAAGTTGTGTATGTGAGAACATTCGCGTACGAAGGAGTGTTTGAATTTGAATACGTTGGGGCTGTTGTGACCCTTCCTGCACGTGTCTTTTTATGGACAAGTGCGTTTATTTCTCTTGGACAAACACCGGGCAGTGGGGTTGCTGGGCTCTTGTCTAGGCATAGTGTTGACTTTATAAATAACCAGCCAAACTTTTCCAGCTGGATCATTTTGCATTCCCACCAGCAGCGTATGAGAACTCTAGACCTCACCCCACCCTCGCCCCGTCCTCACCAACGTTTAGTGACGGCAGTGTCTTAGTTTTACTGACTTTAGTGGGTCTATGTAGGTTTCCCATTGAGTTCTGATTTGCGTTTTCCAGAGGGCTGGTGGCGTTGAGTGCCTTTTCGTGTGCTGCTTTGTCATTCAGAACATCTCTGGGTGCTTGTGTTTCTAATTTCATGAGCAAATGTTTATTCTGAGACAGATTAATTGACAAACCCCATATATTAAGTGCCTCCTGTATCATGTGATGCTGAGTGTCAAGTCCTAGGGGTAAAAGGACTCTAAACCTTTTTTCTCCAAGATAGCATTTATTGAGCACCTGTTTTTTGCTAAGTGCTGTGATAGATAAAGAGATAAAGGCACAGGGAGCAGGTCAAAGAAAAGCTGGAGGAGAGGGACACAAGGGTCAGTAGGGACATGGTGAATGTTTTGGAAGCACAGGGGAGAGAAGTGGCCAGCACAGGAGGCTTCAGGCAGAGGGCTCCAGGCCAGATCGGCCAGCGTGAGCAGGTGGGGGGAGGTGTGCGAGGGCACAGTATTACGGACACACGGGCCTGCAGGAGCGGCAGGAGGGTGGCACGCCTCTCTGGGGTCAGTCTGGTGGGATAGGGGATCCTGAGGCTGGGAGGCTGCAAAGAGTACAGGGGTTCAAGGAGAGGGGCAGGGGATCCTGAGGGTGGCTGGTAGAGTGCGGGCGGGGACCTACTGTGTCCGCTGCCTCCGGCGAGAGCACTTGCTGGGTAGAGAGCTGCCAGCGGGTATCAGGGATTAGATGGCTGGGTCGTTCTTCCCTCCCAACAGAAGGCTTGGCTGTGGAGACGTGGAGAGGCTCTCAGCAAGTGGTTCGCACTTGGTTGTGTGTGTAGGGGGTCGGGGGAACACCCTGATTTGTAATTTGAGTAAATTACACGTTAAAACCTCACTGCTGAGTGTTAAGGATGCTCCTGGTCCCAGACGTTGGCCCCCCTCTTGCTGCAGAGCCCGGCCAGCCTTGGATTTGTGCTCTGAAAGATCGTTTCCCAAACACGATTTTGACAAGAAGCAGCTCCCGGCTGCCTGCCCAGCCCTGTTCCTGCACCTCCGAGCCAGAGGCTTTGGTTCGGGTCATACGCTGCCTGGCAGCCCGGGGCTGAATAGGGAGACCTGCTGTGGTGGGGGCTGGAGAACAGCCGACGCTGAGAATGTGGCAGCAACGGGCAGCTTCTCACAAGTAGGAGAAAATCAGAGTCAAAATTTTTTTTCCAATGAAACTTTTATTTCCTTTGTATGTTTCACAAATACCTATTTGTACTCTGGCAAGTACAGAAAAACAAAGGAAAGAAAATCAGTTTGGATTTTATAATCATAGACTAAAGAGAAAGTGTTAAAGTTACCTAGAATTCTATCATGCAGAGAAGGTAAGTGCGGCAGGTAAGTGTTCTTCTGGGGTTTTCTTTATGGAGGTTTTGACTTCAGTGTGTGTGTGATTTTCCCGCCCAAATCTGTGAATCCAGGAGAACGGACAGCAGTGTGACTGCTTCTGTGTCCCTTGTGTTCATTCGGGGTCTCCTCCCTGCAGAACCCGGCCATCGCTGACATCTACACCGAGCACGCCCATCAGGTGGTGGTGGCCAAGTACGCGCCCAGCGGATTCTACATCGCCTCTGGAGGTACCTGTCTGCCTGCGTGGCTCCTGGGTGCATGTGGTGTGGCCCCCACCCCCAGTCCTGGGACCAAGCTGGGCGCCTGGCCTGGGAGGGGAAGGGGAAGAGGAGGGAGGAAGAGGGAAGTGAGTCAAGGAGGGTGGGGGGCAGGGCTGATGGGTGGAACCAGTGTGGTTAGCTTCACTTGGGGACAAGGAAAGTATAAGCCACCAAAAAGTCCCTTTCCAGAGTTTTGCAGTTGGCAGTATTCCAGCTGGTTCCGACTGGGAGGTCACCAGAAATGCTCACATGAGGTTGGCCGGAGGCCTCTGGGTGGCTGTATCATGATGTAGTTGAGCCCATTATGTATGTGTGTGTGTGTGTGTGTGTGTGCACGCGCGCGTACTTCTGACCTGTGGCTTTGTCTTGCATCACCTTTATTTGCTGCTCCTTTCCCTGTGTTGAGCAAAACGCTGGCCTCAGGCAAGCGTCCTGCTCTATTTGTGGTCTGGGCCTGTGCTGCCTGCAGCCGGGCTTTTGTGTGGCCCCGTGGGAGGCCGGGTAAGAGGAGAGACATAAAGGTCTTCATGTTGCAGGATACTTTATTCTCCTAATCCTTGGAGGTTGCTCTTTTACTGTTCACAGATGAGAGAGGGAGGCACAGACATTAGAGTGGCTGAACCCATGACCCACATTCATTC